AAACTGTAGTGCCGATTGACCTGCAGGCTGCAGGATGGACTCCTTGCATTCATTACTTTTCACAACGTAACAAAAATATTAACCGCACCTTTATAATTTCACCAAATACCTCTAAAATAAAATTACTCCATGGTGTTTTCTGATTTTCTTATTTGTTAATTGAACACTTCTATTTTTTGGGTGATGAGGAAAAAATAGTAATTACTACTTGAGGATATGTATTTTTTGGATCATAACTTTGTTGTCACTAATGCATTTGGTATTATGTTACAATTTCTATTAAATTAATGTTGATTTTTAAGATAATTTGATATTTGTCAAGTATCTTGTGGTCTTATAACATCAATGTTACAATTTTAAATGGAAGATTTCAAGTTTGAGTCACATCCCAATTAAGAATGTTACTGACACTATGTATGTGTTAGATTTTACTAATAAAAAAAAAAAGGAAAGATAAGCTACTAATAAGCTATAAGCTCTGTTTAGTAATGTTCACAAAATAAGCTCCTAGCTTAAAATAAGAGTTTATTTTGGAACACTACATAAGGTAACGTTTCAAAATAAGCTCTTAGCTTCCTAACCTTTTTTTCCATCTTTATCCTTATTATTTTAAAGAAATGACATTATTTACCCTTTTCAATTAAAATCTTTTTCTCTTCTCCTTTATCCGCAACTTTCACTGCAAATATTATTATTATTATTATTATTATTATTATTATTATTATTATTATTGTTGTTGTTGTTGTTGTTGTTGTTGTTATTATTATTATTATTATTATTATTATTTTGAGATTTGTAATAATATTGTTACTTCATTATGAGTTGCTAGATCATTATTATGCTGTTTTATTTCAAAATGTTAATTTTTTTTAAAGACAATGTTAAATTTTAATATGTAAACAAACTAATTTAAATTTTATGAAGATGTCATTTTTAGTCTTTTTACATTTATCAGCTTATCAAAAAACTAATTTTACCAAACACTTTCAATCATAACTACTAGCTTAACAGCTCTTCAGTTTTCAGCTCCGAACTTATAATTTTTTAGTTTTTAGCTCATTTTTAGCTTTCAGCTGCTAACTTATAGCTTTTCAGCTAGATTTGCCAAATAGAGCCTAAGTGTAATTCACAATCTACTTGTGTAAAGAAAGTTAAACATAAATAGACAAAGTTCATACCCAATGCTTTGCATACGTCATATCTAAGGTATTCCTTGTAAAAAAAAAAAAAAAAAAGTATTCGTTAAAAAGTTAAAAGAGGTTTAGAAACGAAAAATATTTCCAATTCTTTTTAAAATTTCTACCTGTTCACTTTTTTTTTTTAATATATATTTATTTTAAGTTAGTTTTAAAAGATAAAAGTTAGAATATTGTGTGACCAAAAAAATTACCTTTCACGAAACACGAGTGAATAGTAAAAAATGTTACTATTCACTAGTGTTTTTCAAATTGAAAAATAAACATCATATTGTTAAAGTTATAAATCGAAAAGTTATACAAAAAATAATATATTCAGCGTACTTTATGAAAATTTTATTTAAACTAATTGAAATTTAACTTTAACTTTTTTTTCCAGTCACATATTGGTATCACTAGATTATAAAATGAGCCATTTTATTGAAAAATTATGACAATTTTAACTTTTTTTGAGGAAATGTTAAGACTGTAATAGTTAGAGGGATGATAGTAAATTTAATTACACAATTTCTAGTAAACAATTTTCAGTAGCCTTCTGTAAAGTTGATTTCATAGTTCAATCAATCAATTGTGTAATAAGGATTGGTTTATTTATTTATTGTCTATTTCAATTATTCTTTTGACATGCACTCTTTAATAACACCATGTAACATTCCAATGTCTTTCCCCTTGTGTAATTAGTAGATAGAAATATAAAAGTCGTATGATATAATGGTTTAAACAAACGTTGATATAATTTTTTTTTAAAGCCAATAATAACTAATTGGTTCAAATAAATAGATTGGTTCAAAAATTTAAACAATCCGTCTCAATGATAAGTCTTGAGTAATTTAGTCTTTTCAACCACGTCAGGGCTTCCTTTACCGCTATCGTCTCGGCCATAAACGGGTCATGGATTCCTTCAATATGAGTACTCCTCGCCGCCACAAATCTGCATGTGTAATCTCGTAGTATCGCTCCAACGCCAACACCACTTGGAAAGGTGGCCGCATCTATATTACACTTGATGCTTCCTCCCGGAGGTGGAGTCCAGACCGCATCAGGTGCCGTCGACCCTTCGTGTGTAGCCCGGCCATAGGACTCCTGCCAAGACAGCTGTCGGGTATAAACACTATGCCGCATAGTGAAGATGGACGGCCTAGTACCACGCCATACAATCTCATTACGCGTTGACCAAATTACGTCCACAATGGCTGCCAATATCACGCCGTGTGATGAGTCCACCATATTAAGCATTGCATCCATACAAGTAGGCCATGAGCGACCTTGGAGAAAATCAGGCTGGCCCCAGAGTTCCAAAGCAAACCAGCAACCGCCAAACAAATGTTCCTGTGTTTCATAAGGGAAGCCACAGTACGGGCAACCCCCCCTAACCAAACGTGACGAGATTTCAGTGCTTCCCGTACCGGTAGAATATTCCTGGCGCACCGCCACAACAAGTTTTTAACTTTAGGTGGGATTGGCAAAGACCACAGCTTTTTCCATGCCGTGAAATCAGACGCTCCTATATGATGATGATCTCCTGTCAGTAATCGATAGCCATGCTTGACCGTATACTGTCCCCTCATGTCACCAATCCATCGCCATGAATCCCTGAATGTGCAGCTTACCGGTGTGACCAAAATGCGGTGAACATCGGCTACCTCAAAAATATCATTGATCACCTCCCTATCCCAGTTCCCCTCGGCCGTAAGAAGGCCACTTACCCGTGCCTCGCGAAGCTCATCAATGCAAGGAGTATGTAGATGAGGAGTAACAGTGTCTGCCAACCACCCCCAACCCCATATTTTGGTATCCACACCATCACCTATTCGGCGAGCTACCCCCTGCTTTAACAGCCCTTGGCCTGCGATGATGCTCCTCCATAGGTAACTGGGATTGTTACCCATTTGTGCATCCAAAAAACCACAAGCGGGGAAGTATCGAGCCTTCAGAAGTCGGCCAACTAAAGACTCCGGATAGATAAGAAGGCGCCAACCTTGTTTTGCCAGCAGCGCTATGTTGAATTCATGAATTTTTTTGAAACCCAATCCGCCATGAACTTTGAGCACACATAAACGGGACCAATTCAACCAATGAATACCTTTTCGTTCCGAACCACTTCCACCCCACCAATAACGGTTCAGGCATTTCTCTATTGAGTCACATGTCCGCAGTGGTACTAAATATGTAGACATAGTGAAAATCGGCAATGATTGAGCTATGCTTTTGATTAAAACCTCTTTACCTGCCCTTGAAAGAAGCTTGTGCTGCCACATGCCTATACGCTCACGAATCTTCCCTTCAATGTATTTGAAAATTTCAACCTTGTTACGGCCAAGAACCGAAGGCAAACCAAGGTAACGGCCCAAGTCATTAGCCATTCGCACACCAACAACTCTTGAAATAAGATTCCGGATATCCAGGTGTGTATTAGTACTGAAAATAACACTTGACTTTTCAAAATTGATCATTTGTCCTGAAGCCATGCTGTAGGCCTCTAGACATTCTTTAACCTTTAACGCTTCAGTTTGTGTGGCCCTGAAAAAAAGGAGACTGTCGTCAGCAAAAAAGAGGTGGGTGATCGACGGGGCCCCCCGGGCCACTCGAACACCATGAATATCACCACGAGCCTCGGCTTGTTGTAGCAGAACAGATAAGCCCTCGGCACAAAGAATGAATAGGTACGGGGACAACGGATCGCCTTGCCGAATGCCCCGTGTGGGGCACACCGTGCCAATGGCCTCACCGTTAACCTGAATTGTATAGTTAACAGTTGAGACACATGACATAACAGTTAGTACCCATTCATGTGTGTACCCTAAGGCAACCAACATCCCTTCTAAGAATCCCCACTCCATCCTGTCATAGGCCTTGGCCATGTCAAGTTTGAGGGCAGTCCATCCCATACGGCCACTCGTCTTACGTTTTAAATAGTGACCAATCTCTCCTGCTATGATGATATTGTCCGTGAGTAGCCTGTTAGGTATAAAGGCACTTTGGGATTGCGAGACAATCGATTCCAAAGTCCCTTTAAGCCTATTGGCCAACATTTTAGCACAGACTTTGTATGCAACATTACAAAGGGCTATAGGGCGAAGGTCAGCCACTTTCTCAGGGATCTTTTTCTTTGGGATTAATACAATATTTGAAGTATTAAAACCCGGTGGGAAAGCCCTGGTTGCCAAACAATTGAAGATGAACACAGATAAGTCATGTCCCAGGACCGGCCAAAAATGTTGGTAAAAAGCCGGGGACATGCCATCAGGGCCCGGGGCTTTATCCGGGGCCATAGAAAATAAAGCTGACTTCACTTCTGCCATCGTATATGGCTTTAGAAGGGCTAAATTCATCTCTTCAGTAACCCACTTTTGCACACGGCGAAAGAGGTCCTGATTGCTGCTACCAGAGCAAAAAATATGGTTAAAGTACCTCAAAATCTCTGCGTGCATAGTCGGGCCTTCTCGCCACTGGTTTTCTTGGTCTTTCAGACACTGAAGGGTGTTTCTACGCCGACGGGTCGAAGCCATCTTGTGAAAATATTTGGTGTTGGCGTCCCCCTGTTTTAACCAAAGCTGCTTTGATCGTTGTTGCCAAAATATCTCATCCTGTTTTAATAGAGTCTCCAGTTCTGTGCGGACAGCCAAGAACTCAGCCACTGCCTGCGAGTTTCGATCTTCCTTAAGCTCCTCGAATTTACACCGTAAAATTTTAATACGGTTGCCAAAGAATTTAAAGTGTTCCCCGCCCCATTTCCAAAGTTGTTTTCCACATACCTCAATTCTTTCTTGAAAGGGCAGCCCTCTAGATTGATGCCAAGCCCCCTCAACCACCCTCACAACCTTCTTCCAGAAGCCATGCAGCTTCAAAACGAAACTTACGCATCGCCGTTCGCATGGGTCTCGGTTCCAAGTCCACGAATATAGCACTATGATCTGACCAGAGAGTCTGTAGGTTCTGCACCACCACTTCCTCATGTATGTCCGACCACTCAATTGTAGCCACTGCCCTGTCCAACCGTTCCTCTACCCACGCATCAGTCCCGTGACCACGTTCCCATGTGAAGCGGCCTCCAATCATCCCCAAGTCATTCAAACGGCAATCATTCAACGTATCATTGAAGCCCTCAATGAGAGCTTCAGGGTGCGAATGAGAGCCCCTCTTTTCGGATAAGCCTGCAATATCATTGAAGTCGCCCACCACCAGCCACGGCAGGGGGGACTTGTTTTTGAGATGGCGCAGAAGATCCCACGTAATTTGTCGTTGCGATCTGTCCCAGTTGCCGTAGAAGCCTGTTAATCTCCATCTCGGTCTGCCAGGAATGTCTATCTCCGCGTCAATGTGATTCATCGAATAGCTTAACAAAGATACCGTGGTGGAATCCCTCCAGAAAAGCGCCAAACCACCACCTTGCCCCACACAATCCATACTAAACGCACCCTCAAAACCCAATTGAATCCGCACCTGCTCCACTTTAACATCATCCGCCTTCGTTTCCATTAAGAAAACGAAGCTGGGCCGCTGCTTGGACACAATGCCCAAGAGCTCACGAACTGTCCGGGTGCCGCCCAAACCCCGGCAGTTCCAGCTAATTACACTCATTGGGCCCGGCGAGCCTGGCCTTCCAGACCCGCCAACGGCAGAATTGTTGAGGAATCCAACATTGTTGTGTCGCTAACCTGAGTTACAGAGTCTTCTCTGCGTCGTTTGAGCTCACCCTGGAGCCCGCCATTCTCCTCCATCGCGATAGTCAATTGTGGCGATGGTCCAGCATCAGGCACATTAGATGTCGCAGTAGTTCTGGTCTGGGAGGATAGTAGCCATTTAGCGCCCACCGGTCGTACCGTTCGTCGCGGACCAGCCCGCATCCAAGATCCAAAAGGAAACTCCTCAGGCGCAGTACCTTCTTCATATACCCTTCTGCAAAATTTGTCGGTATGGCCAAGGATCCCACAGCAGAAGCAAAAAGTATTCAATCTCTCATAGCGAAACGATATCCACTGGCTAGACCCGTCTTTGCGCATAATTTTCATCCTTCGCTTCAAAGGATCGGATATCGTCATCCGCACTTTGATTCGGTAATAGCTACGCCAGGAGCCTCCGAAATTCATAGGGTCGATGGCGATAAACGAGCCCACATAGTCTCCGATCTTGGTGAGGAAATCCACAGTGGCGAAGACAGTTGGCAGGCCATGAATCTGAACCCAGAAGGAGACCGCATCTAGCACAACATCTTCCGGTCGGACATCTTTGGGGACGACATCACAGATTAGGAGGCTGTTCTCGAAAGTCCAGGGGCCATCATCAATGACACGCTTGAGGTCCTTCTGATGGGGAAATTGAAAAAGGAAAAGCTCCTCCGTCACGGGAATCACCTGCATCCCCATCACGGGTCTCCAAACAGAGGCTAACGTTTGCTGCATAAATTCGAATTTGATCAGACGATCTGTCAGAAATCGTCCAACGAGGTTATGTTGGATCGTCGCATCAGGGCTGGCTTGGACTTCAGGCGCTTGCAGTCCGCCCGATTCTTCCTCGGCCAGAGTCATGGCCGCGCAACGTTCCTCAATAAGGCCGGTATCCATGATGAATTGTGGATTGCAAAAATACAAAGCTAACAGAAACGCACAGATTCGCAATGAAAACTCCATTTGGGATACAAAGCATATAAAGCCCTAGATTACTAGGGAAACACTCCCTCAGCCTGCGCTAAGAGAGGGGGCCACGTTTAGAAGGAATTGCAGAAACACGATCACCGGAAGCACGATTAAGGATCACGATCGGAAAGAGGGATCGGAAAGTGGCGAGGAGATGCGAAAGTTGCGGAGCCTTTTTTAACCTTTAATCAAAATTGTGTGACCCATTGATTGGGGAAATGGGAGAAAACTCCTATGCAATTTGTGCGTGAAGGTATTGTCGTGACCAACTTGGCTAATGTTGTAACGTAATTTTATTTTAAATTGATTTTTTAAAACTTTTTCTTATCATTTTTTCCTTCTTTTTCCTCTCTCTTCCCTTTTCTCCAACATGTTACAGCAAAATTACCAAAAAAAATTCATTATTAAGGTTGCTCTTATATATATAAATCATGCGAGGTCCTGTGACTCACCAAACCCACAACTATAACAGGCCTCAAAAATTAAAGATCGTCCCACTTTTATTACCGTTGTTATACCATGGATTAGGGTCCACATTGCAAGTTGGACCCTGGTCTTAAATTGTGTATTATCAGTATTAAAATTGTGAACTTTTAGCATATAAATTGTATTTCTGTGTTTTGAGAATTTGTAAATACAATACAGGGTAATCACAATTTGTCAGTTTGAAATAAATTATAAACATTTAGTATGTAAATTGTGTATCTTTAGACTCGAGTACATTACAGCGTGAAAGGTGGACCTGGTCCACATAATAATTTCCCCTTTTATGATCGCAAAATAAGTCGACTCTACGGGTTTATGCCTTTTTACAGCTGCATATAGAAGTGAACTCCCAAAGGGGAATATGGGTATTACCAATCAATTTTTTGTGAAGTAAAAATGAGGCATTAATGGAAAAGCAGAAGCGCTGAGAAAAAATCAGAATCATAATGACTGCAGCTTTTTTCTTCCTCAAAATCTATGGCAAAGATGCTTCAGTGATTTTATTTTATTTATTTATTTTTTTTGTTCTATTTTTCAGATGGGAATAATTTATTTTTTTTTTAAAAATAATTTTCACGTGCTTACACAGCGCTTTTAGCCGTTAAATAGATTACTCCAAATTGCGATTAATAATGAATAATAAATTAAAAAAAAAAAAAAAAAAAGAGAGAGAGAGAGAGAGAGAGAAAGAAATTCCAACAATACTTTAAAAACATAAAAAAGAATGTCAAATTGTGACTCAGTTGTCTCGAAACTCAGAATTCATAGGAGGATGAGGAAATCCTGTTTGGTTGACTAAGCACTTCTCTCTCTCTCTCTCTCTATCTACTTGGAGTTCAAATTTTTCAATGTGAAATTTCATTTAGCCCCCTGAAGTTTTATAAACGTGTAAACTATACCTTTTTTTTAAAAAAAAAAAACACCAAACAACGAAAGCATATTATTGAGATAAAATCAAATTCTTGATACAAGAGGGCAGAACAAAGATTAGTTATTAAGGAGTGTTTCGATTTGCTTAAAGTGTTGGGTGTTGATTGTGAATCATGTTGCTCATATTATTGTTAGAGTTTTTGGTTCTCATACTGGTCGGAAAAAGTGAAATTATATATCTCCGTGATTTAATTTTAATCTATAATTCATTTTTCATTCACATTACTTTATAGGGATAGAAATATAACAATATTACTTATTTTATATTTTTCATCAAATAATAATAAGGGTTAATTTTAATTTTAATCCCTCAACTATATATATATATATATATATATATATATATATATATATATATATATATATATATATTTAATGTTTATTTTTAGTAAAACTTATTAGGGATTTGGGGTAGTCCACTACTCAAATTGCTCTATGTATGATCATTGGCATAAAGCGCAATTAGGGTTGTTGGAATGGTGAATCGCTCTACCTATAGAAGTTTCAATTAGAGGGATAAGAGTTCAGTGGCAAGAATGAGTGTAAGCGAGTCAATGAGCTATTCGGATTCAATTTGACAAATGTTAAATTTTGATGAAGTTATTATCAAGTTGAGTTCGAATGTGCTTCATTTCATTTATAATTGGATGGCATTCTATACTTGGTTAAATTCCCAACCCTAATAACATGACATAGCATTTTGGAGAATGTAAATCATAGTTATTTGGTCACTCAATGGCTCAGTAGACAAGACCAAATGTCGGTGTGCACAAGGGATCTGCCCACTGTTAAGATTTAAACTTTGATTTTTTCTCTAAAAAACTGTTTACTGAATTAGTGAGCTAAGCACGTATGGGCTGATGACATTCTATCTAAATTAGAGAAAATGGGTAGATCCCAAATATTTCACAAACCCTAGGGGGCTGAAAAGAAATTGTCCGAATGATATTATGTTAAATGGGATTATTTATATTAATATATGGACCAACCATGAAAGTGTGGACTTTGAGTGGAATCATTACACTAATAAACTGTTTAACATTTTATGATACTAATTATTTATTAGTATTACAAAAATTTACAACTAGGTAGGCCCAAACATGAATAGGTAAGTACAACAACAATTATTGTTTACTTAATGAATTTTTTAAAGAGTTTAAACACCACACACACTATATATTTTATGTTAATTAATTATATATTTATCAACCAACTTTGTCAAACACTCTAGTTTAGCTTATATCAACTTTCAACTAATATTAAACATAAACTTGATGTTTGTGAGAGGCCACTTTCATAATTAATATTTTTAAAAATTATAAGTCAAGTTAATTTTAGTTTCAATTCATTGACTATTACATTTTATTTTTTGATTTTTCACATACAAGCATCGGATTGACACTTTGGCAATTCGTTATGCGCTTATTATATGTCTATTTGTCTTTTTCCTATTTTGGGTTAGATTATTGATGACGTTTGTTGATTAGGGAAATAGCCTGATCCCTTTTACAATAATTCTAAGAGAATCATTATCAGTTAGGAATAGTAAGGGGATTTTGTAAGAGTGATTAGGAAAGAGAAGATGTGAGGGGAGAGAAAAAAGTAAGAAAAAAAAAGAACAAAGTTGGAATTTTTTTTTTTTAAATGAAGCGTCAGGCGTGCTGACAGCGTGCCTGACGCGCCACACGGGTGCATGCAATGCACGCGCCCGTGTGGCCATTGGCTATGCGCGAACGCGCACAACCTGTGTCTTTTTTTTTTTTTTTTTTTTTCCTGCCATTCTTTCAACCTTTGCATGACAAATAACTCCCCCATTAATTCTTCCCCACCCAAGTGAAAGAATCAAACATTATCTCCGAATTCTTACATTGATGGGGATGCTCTAATAAGTACCAAATTCAACAACTAATTGAAATTAAAAGTGACAAGTTTTCAAAGTATATCAAATTTCATTAATTTTAAAACAAAAAACTACTCCGTAAAAGTTAAAAGTAAAATAACCAAAGTAAACCCAAGAGGGTAGCTCAACAAGTGGCAAATGAGCTCTCTTTATGGGGGAGAATTTTGATATAACTCGGGTTCAATTCTCACAAGTGACGATTTCTTCTGGGCCAGCTACCCATGGATCGTTAAACGGACGGATAGAGACCCGGACTACCTTGTGGTTTCTCTACCCAAAAAACCAACTTATCCCCTTATCCCGGGGATATGATGTTTGGATGAGAACTGATTGTATTATATTTTCTGTATTTAATTGAGATCAGATGATGTGAATATATAGAAGGATAAGAAGTTCTAAACAGACTCATATACATAGAGTCCTAATACTCCCCCTCAAGCACAGTAAATACTAGTAACCTGTAGCTTGTCCCTTAAGGAAGAAAATCTAGGTCCAGGCAGAGCTTTGGTGAAGATATCAGCAAGTTGATCCTTTGTGGAGATGAAGTTGACTTGGATATCGCCCGAAGCTACTTGATCACGAACAAAATGATAATCAATCTCCACATGCTTGGTGCGCGCATGAAAGATTGGATTGACACTCATATATGTAGCTCCTAGATTATCACACCATAATTTTAGAATGGAAATACGCGGAATCTGTATCTCACGCAATAATGACATAATCCATAGAACCTCAGCACAAACATCTGCAAGAGCTTTGTATTCAACCTCAGTGGATGACCTGGCAACAGTTCTCTGTTTCTTGCAAACCCATGATATAAGATTACTCTCCAAGAAAACAGCAAAACCACTCGTGGATTTTCGATCGTCAGGACAACCAGCCCAATCAGAATCAGAGAAAGCATGAATGTCGCTAGATGAGCACCGTCGTATGCGTAAACCATGATCAACTGTTCCCTTAACATACCTGAGTACCCGTTTGAGCTGCTCCCAGTGTGATATGGTGGGGGCATGCATATGCTGGCATAACTGATTAACTGCAAAGGATAGGTCAAGTCGTGTGACAGTGAGATATTGCAGTGCTCCAGCTAGACTCCTGTACTGTGTGGGATCATCATATAGATCTGAATTGAAGGAGACAGTTTTCGAGACAGAGATAGGTGTAGAAAGGGGTTTGCATTCAGACATTCCAGCCCGTTTTAAAATATCATTCATATACCGTTGTTGAGATAAAATAATCCCATTGTCACTCTTAACTGTTTCAATACCCAGAAAAAAATTTGGTTCACCAAGATCTCTGATTTTGAATGTAGCAGACAGTTTGGACAAGAGCTGAGACATAATACCTTGATCACTTCCCATTACAAGAATGTCATCCACGTACACCAATAGATAAACCAAAGCAGAGTCTTTAGAGTAATAGAACAGAGAGACATCTGTCTTGGATGCTTGAAAGCCAACCGATAGTAAGAACGTATGTAGTCGATTAAACCAAGCTCTGGGAGCTTGTTTTAACCCATACAGAGATCTTTTTAACAAACAAATATGATTCGGGAAGTTAGCATCAATATAACCAGGGGGTTGATTCATATAAACTGTTTCAGCCAGATTACCATTCAGAAAAGCATTATGAACATCTAGCTGTTTGATAGACCACCCAGATGATAAAGCTAGAGATAGAAGGAGTCTTACAGTCGTAGGCTTTACCACTGGACTAAAAGTGTCGAAGAAGTCCTGACCTGGAACTTAATTAAAACCTTTCGCAACCAGCCTGGCTTTATGCCTTTCAATAGCACCATCAGCCTTTCTCTTCGTACGAAACACCCATTTACAGCCAATAATATTCATACCTGCAGTGGGTGGAACTAGAGACCATGTGTGGTTATGCAGGAGAGCATTGAATTCTTGGTCCATGGCTTCACGCCACTCAGGATATTTGACAGCTTGAGAGTAACATGTGGGTTCCGTGGGATGCACTTGAGCTGCTAGAGCAAAAAGAGGAGCATCTGCGTTGCTGCGAGTGGCCATAGAGTGAGTACGGACATTGGGCCTGATGGACCGCCCACGTGGACGGCCTCGCCGGCGAGCAACAGGCTCCACAGGATCACCCGACGAGGCAGCCTGTCCAGGAACCACGACTGGTTCGAATGAAGCAGGTAGCGGCGGTTCTGGCAGCTCATCATTGGACACGGCAGGAATAGGTGTGCTGTGACTGAGAACAGATTCCGCCCAAGGTCCAGAAAACGGAGTAGATAGATCCTGCAAAGAAGTTTTAGTAGCAAAGGGGAAAACTTCTTCATCAAATCTGACATGCCTGCATGTGTAAATCTTATTAGTATTTAAGTCCATGCATCTGTACCCCCTAAAGGACTCAGGATAACCTAGGAAGACACATGGAGAAGACCTGTATGACATCTTATGACGATTATATGGTCGAAGATGAGGGTAGCATAAACACCCAAAGACACGAAGAAAAAGATAGGAATGAGGGGATTTATGTAACAGGAGATGAGGACTGGAGTTATTTAATACAGAAGATGACATTCTGTTAATTAAATAGACAGCAGTCTCAAAGGCAAAATTCCAAAATTTCAAAGGAACAGAGGCATGAGCTAGAAGAGCCATACCAGTTTCAACAATGTGACGATGTTTTCGTTCAACACGACCATTCTGTTCATGTGTATAGGCACAAGATTGTCTATGTTGAATTCCTAATTGAACAAACAAAGAAAGCAACTTTTTGTACTCAGCACCTAAATCAGACTGAATGGCCTTTATTTTGCAATTAAAGGACCGTTCAACAAGAGTACGAAATTTATCAAAGATGACATAAAGATCAGACTTTAATTTCATAGGAAAGAACCATGTATAACGGGAATAGTCATCCACAAAGATCACAAAATAACGGAAGCCAGAAGTAGATAAAGTGGGCGCAGGACCCCAAATGTCTGTGTAAATAAGATCTAGGACTTGAGAACTAGAGGAAGCAACACGGGGGAGGGGAAAACGGGCAGATTTGCCTAATTGACACGCATTGCATAAAGAATTATGACAACGAATATTATCACGAGACCCACTAACCAAACAAGAACGAAGTATATGGCTAAGAACACGGTTATGAGGATGACCTAGACGATTGTGCCAAGTGGAAGCCGAGGCACGAGCGGAAATAAACGCTGACGGAGATGAACTAGGTAATGAAAGTGTGTATAGTCCCCCCGAACTATTGCCCCGAAGAAGTATTTCCTTGGTATTGATATCTTTTACAACAAAAAAGGAGGGGTGAAACTCAAAAAAGACTTTATTATCGGATGCAAACTTCTGAACAGATAATAAAGAATTAGACAAACGCGGAACGTGAAGTATATCAGACAATGTAAATGATCTAGAAGGGGTATTAAAAGAGGCATGGCCAACATGACTAATAGATAAACCCATACCGTCACCGACACGTAAAGTGTCATTACCAGTGTACTTCTCCGATGTAGAAAGAGCAGCGACGTTCGGAGTTTCATGATTTGTGGCTCCAGTGTCCGGAACCCAAGTATGAGAATTTGACGAGGTTTTAGCAACTAAACCATTCTGAAACACCAAATTAGCCTGAGAACCCGGAGCCCCTGAATATCGCCGAAAACAGTTGACTCCCGTGTGACCGAAACTTTTGCAAATTTGACACGGATCATTATAGCGCCAAAAACAATTGGCTCCCGTGTGACCAAAATGTTTACAAATTTGACACGGATCATCATAGCGCCAAAAACAATTGGCTCCCATGTGACCAAAATGTTTACAAATTTGACACGGATCATCATAGCGCCAAAAACAATTGACTCCTGTGTGGCCGAAACCTCTACAGATTTGACACGGATCATCGAAGCCACGTTGCTGACCTCCACGGTAATTAAGGTTGCCATCGCAGCGCTGCATCTTCTTAATTTTATGAATCACAAAACCCTAGCTAACTGATACCAGATGAGAACTGATTGTATTATATTTTCTGAACTTAATTACAATGAGATCAGATGATGTGAATATATAGAATAGAGAATCACAATGTGACAATGATAAGAAGTAGAGAGTCACAGTGCGACAAGGATAAGAAGTTCTAAACAGACTCATATACATAGAGTCCTAATAGTTTGATTACACAGCTGCACTATTCAAATGCCTTTCAAAATGTACTATGCTCATTTGGATTACAACTAAGTATAGTTGTACGTTTGTTAATTTAACGTTGTGAGTGGTTGTTGTCCCACGGTTTCGGAGCTTTTATAGTTTGTACCATTTTACCAAATCTCACTTTTCGCCCAGATTTTGTGTACTGTAGCCCATGGATTCTTTTGCACAAAAGCCAAGGGTAACACTATTACGGAGTATTATTTTCTTTTTATAAGTTTTACCCTACAAAATTCATTTGAAAACCTATACACAACCTAGGTTAATAATAGTCATTTACGCTAATATCTAAACTTGTAATTTTATAATAATCAAGTCAATAGTTCAATCAATTTGACATATTTTGGTGTAAAAATTGGTGAAATTATTTAACTCATTTATTTGAATTGTGATAGAAGTAAGTAATACATATTGAAATAAAAAAAAACGTCACAAAGGGAATGTGCGTGGGGCTTTGGTGTATAAATAATTGTTCAGGCATGATCAAATGTTAATACGTATAAGCGATCTGTCAACTTTGAGTATAACCGTGTTTTCAAACGGACCCTTAGAGTTTTGGTTTTATTTAATTGTTAGTATGAATGGAAAAATAAGAATAAAGTGATAAATTGTTAGGGAGTACTAAACAATTTGTGAATTCTATAACCCACACTATTGCTAGAGAGGCCATTTATGCGTAAGTTGAGACTCTAATTCGTTTCTTGTAAATAATTTTCAGGCCGATTCAATGAATTGTGATAAGCCTTTGAAGAAAATAAAAATAAAGTGAAACATTCATTGGATTGTTCTAATGATTGCTAAAATAGTCATAAATTTCATGGAAAAAGAATTGAAGAGATAAATGTTCAAATTTTGTAAGTGCAAGCTTTCCACCCAGAATAAAGGGACAAAGAAAAAAGGGTTACTAAAACGACAGGTTACAGATTACCGAACCAAAAGAGGGGAGTTGTAAAGCTGACTAGAACTCCCTAAAAGTAGTTAATTATATATATATATATAAATTTTGAAATCTCTCTCTCTCTCTCTCTCTCTCTCTCTCTGTGTGTTTTCTCTCTGATCCACTCCTCCATTATTTTGTGTGTTCAGAGTACTACACAAACCCCCAAGCTGGCATCATGGCCCATTCCTGTCACCTGTCTGCTTTTCTTCTCTTTCTCCCCCACCCCCTACTGTAAAACCACAGTGAGTACATACATACACGTACTGGTTTTTATATTGTATAGCTGTTTTCTTTCTCTTCACCTGATTGTTGCTTGCTTTTCTTTTTCAGTAATAATAATGATTTCGCCCATACTTGTGCGTTGTTGAATGGGCTTCTTCTGGGGACGTCTGAGATGGAACTGGGTTCAAACTCTTCTTCTTCTTCTTCAGGGAAAACCTCGGATTCTTCGCTCAATATTGGGTTGAAGATTGGACAGAAAGTGTATTTCAAGGATGTGGGTGCTGGGTCGGGAGGTCTCGTGAAGACGGGGAGTGGGTCGTCTTCGGCGGCGGCGGGGGGAGGTGGGAGTGGGAGTGGGAGTGCGCTGCCGCCGCCGCCGCCGACTTCGCCGGCGAAGAAAGGGCGGAGTGGGGTGGTGCAGGGCGGGCAGCCGCCGCGGTGCCAGGTGGAAGGTTGCAACGCAGATCTGAGCGACGCCAAGGCGTACTATTCACGGCATAAGGTGTGCGGTATGCACTCCAAGTCGCCGACCGTCATTGTCGCCGGACTTGAGCAGAGGTTCTGTCAGCAGTGCAGCAGGTCAGTGTTTTTGCTCTTTTCTTCATATCCTTATTTTCCCCAAAAAATAAAACACGAAATCATCGTACAATATAATTGTCATTTTTTCCCCCCACGTTTCTGGGCTTGTGTAGGTACAAACGAAACCAATTAATTAGTAATAACAAAAATTGTTTGTTGGGGGTAGAGGAGTTGTTGTCCTTGTATGGTTGGTGATGATGATAATGACTGGTTGCCATTTCCCCTTTCACTCATCCTAGTACTCTCCTAGATTCTCTGGAACAAAAACAACAATGTCATCAAGAAATTTACACCTCAAAAGATGTTAATTTGAGGTTGCCTTGACACATAAATGTTGAGATAATTGAAGCATGTGCTCCATCTCAACTAAAAGCCTGAGCTGATAGTTGGATTGCACATTAATAGTTATATGCTCACACAATGGAGGCTGAATGTCACCATGAAATTGTTGGTGAAGGTTTAAAAGGATGAGAATTGGCTTCTGGGAATGTCTGGAAATAAGTAAGAAGCCTCTAATCACTGTAAAAATGTTATGTTAAATGCTAATTCAATAACCATTTGTTTGTGTATTGTTATTGGTATTTTGAAGTTGTTCTTTATGGATAAAATCTTTCTCAATCTATCATTCATTGCATATATGTTAATGCCTGATAGTTTCCAATTGGTCCGTTTCCGTTTCCAGGTTCCATCAATTGCCAGAATTTGATCAGGGAAAACGGAGCTGCAGAAGGCGCCTGGCTGGTCATAATGAGAGGCGAAGGAAGCCCCCGCCTGGAGCTCTGTTATCCTCGCGCTATCCTGGTCTTTCTTCACCATTGTTAGGTCGGTTTGACGAGGACTATTATTTGTAGTCATAAACTTTTATGTTTTGCCATTGTTGTGTTCAACTAAAGGTAGCAATTACAGATAGCAGCAGCAAAGGCAGTGGAAGTTTTCTGATGGACTTTGCATCGTACCAAAATCCGGGTGGTAGGGATTCGTGGCCTAATACGAGAGCATTTGGGCGAGGGTGGGATGGGCAAACCACTTCCCCTGGAAGGTTTCTCGAACAGCGATGGCAGAGCGGCTCAGAGGATCCCCCACCCGAGCTCCTTCTTCAAGGTGCAGCAGCTCCTGGGACTGCCTACACTGGTCCTAATGTTCCTTCAGGAGAATGTTTCGGTGGAGTTTTGTCCTCCACTCGTGCTCTCTCTCTTCTGTCAAATCAGCCCTGGGGCTCTAGAAACCAGCACCCACTGGCTCTCGGGGTTAACAGCTTACTCGCCACTGATGCCACGACACCCACAGTTCACCAAGATGCTGCTGCCATCAACGAATTCTCCCACCCGCCATGGGGCTTCAAGGGAGGCCAACCCACCAGCAGCTCAACCGAGATGCTTCCCGATCTGGGCTTAGGCAAGATTTCGCATCCTGCAGACAGTCACTACTCTGGGGAGCTCGGGATGGCTCAGCAGACCGAAACTGGAAGGGAATACGTGGGACTGGAGCAGTCGAGGGGCTACGATTCTACCATTCAGAATGTCCACTGGACTCTCTGACCCGAACATCTTCCCCATTCCCGTAATTTCTACTAGCACCTAGGATGTTTTTTTGTGGTGTAATCTGTGCTCCTCTTAATTGGAGTTAGAACAGAAGATGACCTTTTGATGACTGTCTTTGGTAGGCTGCTAGGCAACTTTTGATCATGTAATGCTTGTGTTGAATACGCATAAGCCATGAATCATTGCTTTATCCTTTCTGGTTTCCAGTATGAACTCCTCAAGGTGTGATGGGAGAATGTTTATCTATGGTTTTATGGTCTAATATCTTCTCAACTATTAGGAGGATTTGCCAATTAGCTCTACTTGTGTTGCAGGAGTCCATAGCTAATTAACTATCTAAAGGAAGTAACATGTTGCCTACCCAATCAACCATGTTCACACATCAATAAGTGCTATATCAACTCACTTGTAAGCTGTCATCATGACACAAGCTACTGAGATCCACGGTAGATAGCTTCATGACTATATTGTCCATGCTGGCATGGACAGCTGAATTGGTCATAGTAGTGAAGTTTGGAAAGAATGACTATGTTGTCCATATCTTCATCATCATCAATCTCATTTTACATACTATACTAGTTTATTATTGATCGACACTATCTGGCCTCTTTGTCACTCTATACATGACCTTACAAAGCCTTCATTGTACTCTATCAATAATAATTACATTAAAGCATCCTCAATAGCTTGGTTTTCGCACAAATTTTAAGATGCAAGTAGGAGAGAAGGAATGAGAGAAAAAACAAGAAAAATCTTTTTCAAAAGAAAAAAAGAAGGAAAAAGCTATGTTAATGCGCCCAGCGAGCGCATGGAGTGCACGTGCCTGACTGGGCGCTTCTGGTGTACTTCACGCACACCTGACTTTTCTTTAAAAACTTTGTTCTCCTGCAACAATTTAATACATTTATCTCTCATCTCCTTCTCTCCTCTAAATAAGCATTACAACCTGCAAAAACTATCTAAAATCCTCATATTGGGGGTGCTCGTATTATTCTTTATTTACTACTAACTCACTCTTAATTAACTTTTCTATTGCTCTTTGAATGAAAATGTCATGTTAATTTTTAACACAAATAAAATTTAACTAGTTATCTTTTGGTAACCTGATAAAAATATTAATTGCATTATTTTAGTTTGGTTTTGAGGCTTTAATTATATTTTGATATAATTTTAACCAATCTTGTTTAACACAATGTAAAAGAAATATATATATATATATATATATATATATATATATATATATATATATATATATATATATATATATATTTTATTTTTTATTTTTTTTTAAAAGAGGAAAAAAGGAAACTAGAAATAGCGGGAGACCAAAGGTTTAAGCGCAGAGTACACCTCCGCCGAAGAGCGCGAGCGGCACGCACGTGTTTATAAACTGCCTAACCGTCTAGCAAGCTGACTTGGCTACTGACTCCCTTCCTCCATTGCAAGGACTCCATCTTCTTCTTCTTCTTCTTCTTCCTTCTAGAACCCTGGTAAAACTCTATTCTCTGTACTGATACACTTCATATGCTATACAATTACATTGTGTGAATGAACGCGTATGTATGCTTGTCTTTTCTCAATGCGTTTCTGCTGGAATTTGAACTTCTCGTCGATGATTATAGCCCCGGCGTTGAAGAGGATTTGGTTTTTCGCTCAAAATGTCTAAGAAGAGCAGATCGTTTTGCCTCAGTTTCTCTGTGTTGGCTGTTCTGGCTTTTCTAGCATGTGCTCGCACGGATTATCTCGAAGGTATGTACCTGTTTGATTAATCTAAGAATAAGAAGATTATTGATGAAGAATTTCCGTGTTAATTGTGCATCTTGTTCAATTGTTACACTCGATTTTTAGTATGATGGAGTTCTTGAGTGTTGATGATGATCATCGACCTTTAGGATTTTGCAGGTTTTTTTGTGGAATTCCGGAAATTGATTGTTGAAATTCTGAGATGGTGTTATAACCTGTAATGATAATTATTAGCAGAGTTTTTGAACTGATGACAGTGTATTTGCTTGCCAGTTCAAACCCTCAGAGATATGTACATAACCCTGAACAGGCCGTCACAGCTCACAAGCTGGGAACTAGAGGATGGTGACCCGTGTGAGGATATGTGGGTAGGAGTTACCTGTCTTGGATCAGCAGTGATAAGCATGTATGGTGATATATATGATATTATAAATTCCTTCATTGCCATTTCTTTCTAGCTCTCAAACAATGCATCCATCATTTGCAGTAGACTTCATGGTTTGAACCTTACTGGTACATTACGCTTCCAGATAGCAAATCTTCAAAAGTTGACAGATCTGTAAGTTTAATCAGTACTCAAATCTTTTGTCTGTCAATTTCTATATCATTTCATGGAGAACAATCTTGTGCTTATTAATTTGCTGTTTCTGGTTATTTAGGGACCTGAGCTCCAACAACATTCAAGGTGAAATCCCATATGGCTTACCCCTAAATCTGATGCACTTGTAAGATATATGTCCTTCTTCATTCATACTGTTGAATAACGCTATTAAATTTGTTTGCATACTGTCAGCTTATGAGAACTAGTTAACCTTCTGATTATGGAAACTGCAGGACTTTGGCATGCAACCATTTCAGCCAGAACATTCCTAGTTCTTTGTCCAGCCTGAAATATCTTAGAAACCTGTAAGCAGATTTTATACTGGCTGTTCGGTTCTCTATGCTGGTGCCAATGAATTTTTTGGAGTCTTGATCATTGCTTATTGCAGGAATCTGAGCCACAATCTATTATCTGGACCGATGGGAGATTTCTCTAGTGGCTTGGAGAATCTGAGAGAGATGTATACAATCTTTCTTTGTGTTGGTTTTGATTTGAATGCTAATTGTGTTCAGTCGAATAATTTCAAGGCTAACTAATCAGTAAATTGAACTATAATTTCTTATCCCAGGGATCTTTCACACAATAATCTCACTGGAGATTTACCTAGTTCATTTGGTGCCTTGACAAGACTGACATCTTTGTAAGTTTATCTCTTTTTTATTCACAATTACATGAACTGTTTCTCTCATATTGCATAATGCTAAACAACAAAGAGGTGATAATTGTAGGTTTCTGCAGAGCAATTCACTCACCGGATCGGTCACTCTTTTGGCTGAGCTCCCACTGAGAGACCTGTGAGTTTCTCCATATCTGAAGCTTTTGCAATTTCGTAACGAGTTTGTTTGCTCACTTGTATACTTTTCCAGCAACATTGAAGATAACCACTTCAGTGGTGTGATCCCAGAAAATTTTCAAGGGATTACTAACTTATGGTAAGTTGTAGGCATCTCACTGTTTCTACATTTTTTTCCCCTTTGTTCCCATTTTCCACTTAAGTTTTCTTCCCTGTCTTCAATCAGGATTGGAGGTAATAGGTTTGACAGAGGACAGGACTATCAACAGTGGAGTTTCCCTCCATATGTATTGCCCAATGGGCAGAATATTAGTCCTTCACCAAGTTCACACTCAAGTTTCAATGATACAAAACATCCTTCTTCTCAGAAGGAAGGAGGGCACAAGAAGAAAAGATCCAAAAGAATGAACACTGGAGAAATAGCAGCTATAGTTGTTGACATTATAATCTGTGTAGTAATCTTGATTGTTGTGTGGAAAGAGATGCTTGAAAGCATAGATGGAAATCAAATTTCAGAGAATTCTGTTCCAATCAATTCTACAACTCGAGGTTAGATATATATGGAGTAATGTCAACATGAATATCAGATTATTAAATTTCTACTTCCGCATGCATTGTATCAAGCTGACTCATTTATATATGTCTGCATCTAACTAAGCATTCTTGTCTGCAGAATTTTCCACAACTCACGAAGACAGCTTACAATCATCAAGAATGGGCTCTCCTGCAGAACCTCAACCAGTTTCTCCATTGCAGTTACCACCTGTTCCCAGCAGAGTGTCCACAAGAACAAGTTTTTCCAAGAAGAGCAAAATCCCAATATGTGCAAAACTTTATACCATGGCAGAGCTTGAATCAGCTACAGGAGGCTTCAGTCAAGAAAACCTTATTGGAAATGGATCACTTGGCTCCATTTACAGAGCAGAGTTTCCCGATGGACAGGTAGAGATTTTAAGAACCTATTGGAGACAATCAGTGAGGCAAACTGTGAAATAATGCTGAAGTCCTCTTTATTTTTTGCAAGATGTGTATTGTGAAGCACGTTAACGGGGTAGTGAAATCTCTCCATGGACAACTATTCTTGAATGTGATTAGGACTGCATCGCGCCTGAGGCACCCCAACATCATCACACTACTTGGCTACTCCGCAGAGCTTGGCAACTGCTGCTTCCTTGTTTATGAGTATGTAAGAAACATGCCCCTCAATGATGCCTTGCACAATGTAGCACACATGACTTTGCCTTGGAACATCAGACTCCGCGTTGCAGTTGGCGTTGCCAGGGCTTTGAAGTAAGAACATAACATTAACATTCATCAATTTACCCATCACTATCCCATCTGCACACTATCTTACATGTTCTTTGCAGACTGCAGTTCCCATTTATCCCTGACACTTCCTGTTTCACTTCAGCTACATGCATTCTTCCTGTGTGCCACCAATATCCCATTGCAACTTGACTGCTGCCAACATCTTTCTTGATGAGGATCTCAGACCTCGTCTTTCAGATTGTGGCCTAGCAAACTTAATAAGCCTGAACACACCAGCAGATGATATGCAAGGGAGCACTGGGAACACAAAGGATGATGTCTACTATTTTGGGGTGTTGCTCCTCGAGCTCCTAACCGGAAGGCAGCCTTTTAGGTCCATAACTAAAAGTTTAAACTGACAGTGAGACTATATATTATACGCTCATCACTGGCTTTCTTTTCTGATGCAGTTCAAGACCAAATGCTAAGGAATCCCTTGTGCAGTGGTCTGTGCCCAGGCTTCACGACAACGTGTCGCTGTCAGAGATGGTTGATCCACATATCCGGAACACAATTCCCGGCAAGAGTCTTTCTCATCTCGCAGACATTATCTTAGTCTGTCTTCAGGTACTGATTATGCCAAAATCCATGATTAAAAGATGCATATCAGCTGAGTAACTTAAAATTGTTTGTTGTTGGGATGATATACTACTGCAACAATTAAGCAGACTGCGGAGTTCAGGCCACCAATGAGCGAAGTGGTGGAGGCGCTGGTGGGTCTGGTGCAGAAATGTGGATCATCGATGAGAGGAGTGGAAAATGGCAGTGAAGTAGCTGACCCCTTACGCCAATCGTTTCGTTCTGTGAACAGCCACTTCATTCCCTCACCCACGCAAAGCTACTACTCCATCTAAAATCACCCACCCCCATCCGGAAACTCAGCACTGTAAATGGAGCCATGTGATCCATTTCCAATAAGGTTTTCTCGAATGAAGCAGCCTGTAGCCGATTCAAGCTCTGCCATGGTATACAGTTTTGCACATATTTGGGGTTTTGCTCTTCTTGGAAAAACTCCTTCTGGACACGTTCACAGCTCTGCTGGGAACAAGGTGGTAACTGCAATGGAGAAATTGGCTGAGGTTCTGGAGGAGAGCTAATTCTTGATGATTGTTCAGTTGGTTGCAGTAAAAATATATTAATTAGTCAGCTTGATAGGGTGCATGCAGAATTAGCTCTCCTGCAGAACCTCAGCCGGTTACCACCTGTTCCCAGCAGAAACTGGCTCCATTTACTACTCCATCTAAAATCACCCCCAACATACATATATACAGTTTACACTTCATTTTGTACATTAACTGTCTTGAACCAATGCTAATATGCTATCTGAAAATGACACTGCTTTTGGTTTGACTCAGCCAGTTATGATTTATGAGCATCCTAGATGATTTACTTCCCTGTGCTCATTTGCCGAGCCACTTTACTCTTTTATGAATTGATAAAGTCACAAAGCAAAATTTATTCGTTATACATTTTTAAATAGTGGTTGCAGGTTTCCCTTATCAACCAAAAACACACCGCTCAATAATGAAAAGTGAAAATAACATGACCAATTGTCAACGACCCATCGTTTAAACTTACAAAATCCCTAAATTGACCAGTTCAGGGTGCCCCAATACTGCTATTAGCCTATTACGTGTTAATACGACGACGTTTGGAACAACAAAGAAACTAATCCAATTCGAATAGTAATGGGCTTGATTGAAGCCCAACTATACTTGACCCATTTTAGATTGTTAGAATTGATGTCCTTTTGGGCTTTAGGCCTAATTCTCATCAACATTTCAACCTTCCTGAGCTTCCAAATTCCAATCTCTCTCTCTCTCTCTCTCTCTCTCCGGCAACACAGATCAGTATCAGTTACCACTCCTTCAATCCCACCCGGTAAGCATATCTATACATCTGTTTCTGAGCTCATATGAGTCTGTATATATCTGTAATATGTATATTTATCTGCGATGATCTCCCTCATTCTCTGAGGGCTATGTAAAACGAAAGTTCGATTCTAGGTTTCGGAGTAAAAACACGTGGAGTTTCACTATCTAACTCGAAATTTGATCTTAATTATATTCTAAATGTTTGCATTTGCTTATGTCCGTCGTGTCTGTATGCTGTTCTCTAATTTCTTTTGAATTGGTGATTTCCTTTGTTAATTATCCTATTTCTTTTTGAAGTCGTGAGATTCCTGTAGGCTGTAGTGAAAATAGGGATTCGAATGTGTATTTAGATTTTATTTTGGATTTTTTCTGTGAATTAGTTTTGACTTGTTTAAATGGTTGGAGTAATAATGCATAGTGCTCTATGCTGTTAATGATGTCGCAAATAGCAAAATGGAAACACTTTAATTAATTATGATATATATTAATTGCATTGCTAGGGCTGTGAATGAATGATCTTTTGTTGCATTGAGGATGTAATGATACACTTGGATTGCCTGAAAACAGAAAAAGGATGCCTGGTGGTTTATTTATTTCTTTTTTTTTTTTTTTTGCAAAATGATTTCTGTGGAGTATATGTGGATTCCTTCATCAACCATCATATCACTTGCTGGTATAGCAAATCTTAGTTTAGGGGATTAGGAAATGCATACATTATAATCGTATCCCTATTTCTTGTGTATCTGGAGATCCCACTACAAACTGATATATATTCCTTCTCAAAGTAAAGTGACGTCTGTCAGATGCCAAAGTAATCTACTAATCTTTTGGTTTAGTTTACTTTGCTGGTGATTCCCATATGTTTAAGGTATTTTGGGAACATATTAATATATGTGATCAAGCATATCCACATAGCTATGGTTATACATAAAATTGTCTCTTTTTAATCTTTCTCAGATAATTTTGACAAGTTGTTGTATGCATCTCTCCACATAAACTCTTTCTAAATGCAAAGACTAATTTTGTTTAATATGAGCTTATTGTTTATTTGTTTTTGTGTAAATGATTTTTATTTTGGTACATCTGATGGAGAGGTGCGATTTAAACCTAGTCTAATGCTTGAATGGTGGTTTAGCCTACCACTAAGCTAAACCCCAAACCCTATTTTCATGTAAATGTCTGGTGTGTAAATTCAAGGCTTGGTACTAATTGAGCTGCAATTACTGAAAAGTTAGAAAAACTTTAAAATGGTGTCCAAATTCATCTTAAGCTTACCATTTGAGGGTGAATTTCTTCAAAAGTGTTTAGGTTTATGGCGTTCTAAAAACTATTATTTTTTCCCACTCCTTTGTGGATTGCTCCTGTTGATGTCCAAATATTAATTGGTATTTACTCGGAATTAATTGGCCTTCATTTATGAACTGTCTCTGTTTAATTATTGGATGTATACACATTTGAGCTTTGCACTTTACATTGCATCTTTTCTATTTCCACGTTAGGGAATCTGGTATACATCAGAGATCTTTACCCTCCCATTTGTCTTTTACATAAATCTTGCTTCCAAAACAGGTACAGTTATTGTGGTTTCTTGTTAAGCTATGGACTCCTCAGAGCTCAGATACTACGAGGATGATGATACTCCAATGATGAAAACAATAAAAGGTGCAACCACAGGTCTAGCTGCTGGTGCTCTTTGGGGTACTATTGTTGCTACTTGGTATGATGTGCCTCGTGTTGAGAGAAGTGTTGCACTTCCTGGCTTGGTTCGAGCACTGAAGATGATGGGTAATTATGGGATGACATTTGCTGCCATTGGTGGAGTGTATATTGGTGTAGAGCAGCTGATGCAGAATTATCGTATGAAAAGGGACTTTATTAATGGTGCTGTTGGTGGATTTGCAGCCGGTGCTTCTGTGCTTGGTTATAAAGGTGATTCGATCTCCCCTAAGGATTAATTTTGCATCTTATTCTTTAGAGATATTAGCTGTTAGTATTGTGTGGCATTTGATAGGAGTTTCATTTGCATATAAAGAACTTTTGTTTCATACATTTGTGGGGTAAATTGCACTTTTGGTCCCTCGATTGTTAACCATTATTAAATTTACTCTCAATTTTTTGAAGTGGAAGCTGACTAATTTACACCTCAAAGTACTAAATTTAGAACATGATAAAACAATTGAGGACCTTTGACTGATTTCGAAAATGAGTAACTATATTGCATAATGGCCAAGAATTTAGGGATCAAAACTGAGAGTATACATACAATTGTGATTTACTTGGTGAATTTCCTTATGGATCTAAACTAACCAGCTCACCCCGAGCTGTCCACTCTACATGGTATTTTTGTTCAGTGTGTGGTATCCGTATCCCTCGGTGACTTCCTATATGCACATTCTTTACCTATTACTAATAAAAGTTCACTGTCTGCTGTCCATCTTATTAGCTGATGGTTCATAGATGAAGACAATGTTTTTGTCAATTAACTATCTGTGTTCTTTTAAAAGCATAGTGTATGATCTGTTTTGGATGTGTTCATATTGTCCACAACAGTTGCATTTTTGCTGCACAATGTTTCCTTTATTATTTGTTGTGAAGGTGTTAAATTATATGCTGCTTACTGTATTCAGGTAAGAGCATTTCAACTGCTATCTCTGCTGGAGCGGCACTTGCAGTTACCTCAGCTATAATCGACGCTGGAGGTCAGACCGTGAGGGTCGACAATGGAAAGGAGTACTATCCATACACAACCAAGAAAAAATCCCATGCTGAGTAAGTGTTCTCCCTTTGGACAAAAATGGGAGCTTGCGGCGTTATTTTATAGACTTGCTGTGTGTTCTTTTTGGAAGCTGGAAAGTGTACTGTGAACCGTGTTTTCAGTTTGATATTCCTAGTCAAAATAAATACTGCGCAGTCATTTTTCAAAACTTGTTCTCCATAGGAGTAACTCGGAAAACCTCACAGGTGTTATTGTTGAGGCATTTTCTGAAAGATTCAAGAAGATAATTCAACAAAGTTGTTCCTTTCAGATATGATGCTCCAGTCCTTAATGCGTTTTAAAATCAAATCTATTGTATGTTGATAACACTAGACCATGCATTTTTTTTTTTGGCTATTGCACCCTATACATAATACAAATCATCTATCCAGCATATATATGTACTAACTATTTGGTTACCAGATTTTCATGTTCACTTGAATTCTCTCGTTATGGATATTATTTGTCTATCTAAGGCACATTTTAAGCTTCTTTCAAAAAGGTTGAATCCCCAATTCCAATGGTCTCTTATACCTTAGCCTAGGATCTGCCCATTTTAAGCATAATTTCTACACTAACACTGTCGAGATTTGAATCTTGATCTCTTCTTCCAAATACTATCCTATCCTACTAAACCAGTGAGCTAAGTCTGTGCAGGTACATTTTAAACTTGATTAGGATTAAACAGGGTGAGGTAAAAGCAAATTCTTAAGAGTAGTTTTGAGTAATAAAAATTATTATTGTAAATTTTCATTTAAAAGGCATTTTGACTAATATTTAAGTCACGTGACAATTTTTTTAGACATTCTAAATTCCAAAATATAGTTTAAAAAATATTTATTTTTTAATAGAGGGAATATTTTAAAATTCAAAACAGTATAATCACAAAGACAAATTTATGAACATCTCTATACCCTAACTCATGGAACATGGAGTTGAGATTTTATTAGATACAGGAAACATTACAGAAGGAAGACACTGACAACAATGAAGCCAAGAATTTATAACAACACTTGACTAAACAGAGCTTGACTGACCACTAGCCACTTCTCTGCTTGCCTTGGCTGGCTTTTCTCACCAGCAGGAAGCAAACCTAATTCATTCAAATATCCAAACTTTACCCAGCAGCAGCCATACAAACAGAAGACAAGAGCTAACTGACAAACTAAATACTCCGATGCGGAACTGACACGAACGAAATTTCATAAGAGAGACTACTTTCAAAGGAACTAACTACACCAAGTTAGCAGATGCATGACTAAATATAATCTGTCTGCAAGATAGTTTCAAAGGGACAAAGCTTGTTTGCAACAGCAAACCCTAGCATCGCACTCTCGGCTGCCTCCACCACATTCAAAATTGACAACAAGTGTGTGGCGACTTAAATTGGTGGTCAAAAGTATGCTCAACTTGCAAACCTCCTTTTGACCTCTTCAAATCATCCAACAACACTTCTATTCACCTTGTAGGCAGTAAAGTTGCCTGATATTTCCAGAAGCTGTTGTTCCAAAGGAAACAAAAAATAATGTTAAGTATTCAGAAGCACTACATAAACAAAATTTGGTATAAACTTATGTCTTAAACAAAGATGCAGAAGTGCAAACTATCAAGACAACCACTTTATTACCATATAACCAGTCTTTAAACAGCACATGGAGAGCACTAGCCAATTCCCGTTTCCGGCTGTCTTCAAGCTCGGTTTCCCTCAATATTTGCTTAATCTCCACAAGATTCTTGTGCTGAAAATTCAATGAGAAGAAACATGATTAAATGAATTAACGGAAATTTGACAATTTCAATAATGAAGTGAAAAATGATTAAGCTACAAAGTTCAAAGAACAAGAAGCATTTTATAGAGAAGAAATCTTTAGGATGCTCCCGGCAGAGTGATTGGTCAAGCACATACATTTTTATGCTGAGAAGCCATATAAGCATCTGGCAAGGGAAAAGGGTTATCTTTCGTGGAACCAGATTGTTGAGCTTCAAACCAATTAGGAACCTGCGAGAAAACGAGTGTGTATCAAAATATAAAGAACTTAGGTGCACAAGCACAGACAAAGAGCAAACTAAAAATAACTGCTAAAACCTACAAAATACAACTCTATAAACTAATACTCCAGATAAAAGTTTTAAGAGTAAAATAAGCAGGCTCCCAACTCACAAGGATGATTAGAGTATTGGTTACTATAAATTAAGCAGCAATATTTAAATTTCTCCAAAGGAATTATGGGTCAATCAAGAACAAATCATGTTTTCCCACTAGAAAGGAAAGACCTACCAAAAAGTAAGTAAATTGATCAGGGTCTAAACGGTTAGCAGACTCAGTTTGGACATCAGATACACCAGCAGGATGTGATAGTGAATCATGTGGATCAACCACTCCAAGTGCCACAGGTTCATCCCATCTGTTAATGGTAGGGTAGATACCAACTTGATTCATGTGCTCCTCTAACTGCGAGTAAACTGTGTTATATGGAGCCACCTGATAAAAGAACAAAGACAAACAATAGACTCAGACTGCAAACTTTCTTGTCAATCCATGAGAATCAGTTTGAACAAAATGATGCACATATTAATAGGGTTTGCTATATGAATGGCATAACCATGGCCTCCTACATTTCATTTTCACTCATCAGGTAACGAATAGAATGAAATCTAAAGAGAACTCCAGCTTTCATGTGAAGTTTTATGTACAAAAAAAGAAAAATGGCATACCTGTAATTTATGGTTATCACCAACAATAAGGGGTTGTTGGTTTACTCCTAAAAAGAATACACATTCGCGACAATTGGCAATACAGATACGCTTGGCTGCTGCAATCACATGCACTCGTTCACAGTGTTCAACTCTGACTGCCTGAAAGATGTACTATTATTGAAGACTTTAACCTGACAATGGCACATCTAAAATTCATCTAAAGAATTTAATGATACTATAGTATACTATTAAACATAAAATTTCCACCGAAAAGAATGAGGTATTAGACATAGGCTCTGTTTAGTAGAACTTATAGCTTATTTTAAGCTACAAATAAATTATAGGCTCTGTTTGGTAAAACATAGGGAGCTTAAAATAATAGATTATTTTGAAACGCTTTCAAAATAAACTAGTAGCCACTAACTTTTAAGTTTTTAGCTTTAAGCTAGGTATGCCAAACAAAGCCATATTAGCCCAAAAAAAAAAAAAAAAAAAAAAAAAAAACAGACATTTGAGCCTAAAGTGACATGCATAATTGTAAAGTTCAAGCACCTTTTGGTGATTGTTAACAATAAATAGTATCATAACCAGAATTGGTAAGATATATGAAAATAATATTCCCAAATTCTTAAAGCTACCTTGCCAACAGCACCAAGAACAATGGTTGCATCAGAGCATCCATAAACTGTTGCATATCTCAAAGGAGCCAGTATATAAATCACTGATTCATGGCAGTTCACAACCTGTCAAGAGAAAGGAAAGGAAAAAGGGAAAGTAGAAGAAAAAGAAGTTAGCTTAACAGAATGCAATGTGGAACCAAGAAGAATAGAAGCCTGTTGAGATGATATGTTGTAGACAAATAGGTTGCAGGGGTTCAACTTCAACAGTGATGGACAACACCATGATTAATTGTGGGATCCAATCTGATTCATTTGTATCACAAATGGCCTTTTCAAGATATTTTTTTGGCTAAGAGAGTAAAATTAATTTGAACTTACTTTTACAGAAGAGCCTTTAAGATCATTTGCGTGCCTTACATAAGATGATTTTGAAATCCCCTCAATAAAGCTAGGACCCCGGGAACTAGGTGTAGCCTTTGCTGGACTTGTAGAGACATCGGTCATTGGAATATCCTGATCAGAGACATTAGACAGGCCATTTTCCTTGGCAGATGCTCTCTCAGCAATACGTTCCAAAGCAGATGCAATATTTTGTAGAAGCCAGTCGTGAACTTGGGCAGCAGGAACAGGAACAGCGGGCATGTCTGGATCAGAATTTGCAAAAAAGGGAGCATTTTGGCTCAATGGAGTTCTCTCAGATCCCTTTTCACCAAAATAGATTAGATAGCCAAGATGCTCAAATTTCTCCATTGACAGAACCTGGAATTAGTTGATAACATATCATTTCAACACATGGTATATTAGCCCATAATAATGGTTATCAATGTAAGCCCTAGAGTTCCAATACTGAACATCAATTCCTGTAAAACTTATCATTTCAGAACATAGAAGTGCAGTGACAAGAGTACAAAAATATCAAATTTTTTTCCAGAACTGTAAATATATTGTTAACCACAACATAACTAAAGTAAAAAAATTCACAAACCAGTGATTCTTCTGCCTCTCCTTCAACTGAGTCAGCCAAAAGAGAGAGAATGTTGCCCACATGCTTCTGTAAATAGGATAACTGATGAGCCTCTTCATCAGATTGTGATGGCATGAACCTACGACTATTGCTGCGTACAAGCTGTAGTCATAAAAGTAAGGGCGCTGTTTAGTATTATGTGGCAATCCCATATAATTACAGGTGCATCTACGAACAAGGGCAGCTAAGTTCAATCTATGGTGAACTCATAAAATTAAAGATTCAGACATTCAGTTAGGTATTTATGCAGCAACACAATATGATTACAAGTGAATCTAGGAACTAGGAAGGCTAAGTTCAATCAAAGGTGAAAACACTAAGACTTGGAAATGAACATACATATTCAACAAATTTTAGGGTAAAGTCATCCCTTCAAAACAAGTGAAAAAGAACTTTGACTGTCAAAGGCCCAAAGCATGAAAATTTGTAGCCACATTAATCAGAAATTCATTTCATTCACCTGTCATAAGCAGTCTAATCATTTTATGACTGAGAGTTTTAGTTGCCAAAACTAGAAGAGATTTTAACAAATTATTTTTCAGGTTCCCATCGTTAAGTTCCCCCAGAACATAAAAGGGAAAACATCTAAGTGTGTGCGGGCGGGGGGATTGAATAAGATGCTTTATACCTTTCCCTAATAAAGCATTCTTTTGGGAGAATAATGAAAGAAGAGATTACAAATGTGACAGGACCCACTTTAGGAAGTATATTATATCAGCAAGAGAGGCAACAAATGGAAACCACAACGACATCCTAAAGAATAGAATTTGGGACTCCTTCATTAGTTATATATATATATGGAAGAATGCTATTAAAGCTACCAAATCATTAGAAGATTAGTCAAAATGCAAACTAAAAAATTTCCTATTATAATCTTAACATTACAAAATTTTACAAAAATCAGAATGCCCCTTCATAGTTACAAAGATAACAATACACAAGATGCAAATGCAACATCCACATTAGAAAA